CAGGAAGTCGATGGATGCAGGTGGCTCAGGACCGCGCTTTGTGGCATACCTAGGGGGAGGCCTATGTTCAGCAGTGGACTTGTGAAGGGCTGTAATGATGATGATGATGTTTAAATATTTTATAGAACTCTGGTATCTCAGAGGTTAATAACTCTATTCCATACATTGCACAAATAAAAGAGAATTGGTTAGCTATTGTCGTAGCGTAAGTGTAGGACACTCTAAATAAAAAACACCAAATTAAATGGTAAAAATGTAATATAATTGAATTCCAACAGACGCATCTGTTGAAACATTCTTACACCAATTCATCAATATGTCAACATTACACTATAAACTAAAACTCTCCAAATATAGTTCTAAAACTAACGCTTAACATAATCTATGTCACACGAACAACATTAGAGATGTTTTCTCAATCACAGTATCACACTAGGAGGTTAACATATTATTTAGTTTTTTTTTTTAAAATTGGTGATGGGATCATTGATAATTATAAAGCACTTGTCCCACCGCCGACGAGAAAGCGATTTAGCTATCGACTATTTTCTCACTCAAGAAACGAACAATAGTTTAAGACTGTCAATAAAAGATAAATATAATAATGTCCTTCAGACCGAATTTCGGCCACGGCGGCCTGCCTCAACGGAGGCTCGCCATCGGCGTAGGACAGGATTATAGTGCCCAAGTGTATGCGCAAGCACAGGTGCACTCTCTATTCCCTCACTCACATAAATGACGGGGGGACGGTAAATCGAGAGATTAGGCGCAGTAAGTACCAACGGCTTTACGTGCTTTCCGAGGCACGGGGGTGAGACACCGCCAACTTCCTGACTCCGGGCAACTACTGAGAATTTCTTGACAGAAATACTCAATAATTGATTTTTTGTCCCGACCCGGGATTCGAACCCAGGACCTCATGATCAGCAGTCGCACTACTACAACCACTAGACCAACGAGGCAGTCTAAAGATAAATATATTACTAGTCAATCGCTCAGGCGAGAACTCGCTCTCCACTAGTTTGTCGCAGCGACAAGAGCTCAGATAAAACTCGCTCAGCAACGCTCGCTTGGCGGTCAGAACTCACGCCGAGAGTCCAACCAGCGGACATTTTACCCTACAGTGCAGATCTGAGTACACTCGCTTATAGCCCAGTGACAAAACTATCGGAACTGCACTCGCTTTCCCCTGCTCGCCAACTCTTATCTAGTTTCTAGCTCTACTCGCTTCTTGTTCATCGTTGGCGCTGAGACAAGTGCGTAATACGATCTTTCGATCGTAGTTGACACCAACATTAATAAATTACTATATGATATAATTTGCATTTATTATTTCAGTGTGCCTAGTGCGAGTTTTTTTACGCGTTCGACAGCGATGAAGTTAACTACAATTTGTATGGAATAAAAAAGCGCCAACTAGTAACAATAATTTGAAACAAAATTCCTGAGTGCGACTTTACTACGTGGTCGATATCGACCATCGAACGTTGACTCACATTCGACAGTGAGAACGTTAACGCTCGTGATTGGTTCTTTGAAGGATTTTGCGAGTGCGGGCTTTGACTAGAGAAAAAAGAAAGGACATGACATAAAGATCGTTAGTTGTAGGAATGTAACGAAATATCGGTGTCTCTTTTTATCTTACGAGTATATTCGTATGTAAAAAAAAGGACAACAGTAGTTTTATCATTATCGAATATGGCAACAATTTTTTCGCTGCGGCCAGGCGCCATGTTTTGTCACAGTCAATGACAGCTATATCAGTTGTAATTGCGACTTTAGTGAGGTGAGTGTGTTATTTTCATATGTTTCTCTCGTGGAATTCGATTATTACGAAATTTCTTATTCTATTCCTCGGGACCTCTAGATCGGGGTAAAAAGTATCTATATATATATGTTAATTCAAATAATGAACTATTTGTGTGCCAAATTATTACGTTCAAACAAGTCTGATACTTTTGGCATGATTGAGGAACAAACAAAAATTCAAACTTTTGTATTTATTATAGTTTGATTAGTGTGAGTATGATGACTGAGCCTAATTTATTGTCTAACAAACAAACAAACAAACAAAACTTTTTTAATTAGTATTCCTTGTTTAGTAATTCCCGGGAAATAATTGTAACATTAATAATTGATAATTGCATTATAAAACAAAAAAACGACACCTTAAAAGTAACGAACTGAAAACATAGGTATAACTTGTAATATATTTCAGTAATCTCCTTTTAATGTACTTTATTTTGATACCCCTATCGATAGGTTGAGTAAAAAAAAATTAAGAACTTATATTTTAGCGTCAAAAATCCGTCATATTGATTAAAAAAAACCTATTTAAGAACACACGGGTGTTTGACAGGAATCACACGAAAGAATCTTTTTTCTAAATAAGCGCCACATTATCGATATTAAGTATAGTGTGCAGCACTACGTCAAGCCGCCATCTTTGTGCCAGACTCAGTTTAGGTATACACGTTTTTTTTTCGTAGTAATGTCATGTCCTTTCTTTTTTCTCTAGTCAAAGAGTGCGGGCGACAATTTTGATCGTTCGAGACGTAACTTATGTAAACTTTACGCCGTCGCTATCGAAAAAGTTTTCACATAGATTTTTACAGTGAGATGAAAGAATAATTGTTGAAGAGTTAATTTTATTTCGTTTTAAGTGAACGATGTATAATTATAGCAGGACGTTTTTTCGCTTGGAGGATGTTTGCAGCCGCTAAGGCATAAATAAGTAATAATTATAGATGACTACTATTATAACGCCAGTGTTGAAGCAGGAGCTTGTGCATATTTTCGTCCGTTGTTACATCACGACGAAAGGCAATTTAAGGATAGATATAGCATTTCCACTGAAGTGTTCAAGTTTTGTGTAAATAGCGTTAGATAAATCTAAGGTCTAGCATCTCTATTCAATAATTAAACCAATTCCTTCTAAATTTTATATACAGACCATTTGATCGCTTGCATTAGACGATGCTTTGCCGAGGCCTTCATGCCGAAAATCCAATAAATTCTAGTCCGTACAACACACGTATCAAACTTCACTTTACAATAAATAACTTAAATTCCATTTACTGCTACAAAAATTTCACCATAAAAGCATATTAGAACGAACACATCGTTATATTTTTTGACTTAAACGTTATATTATTAACAATCACGGACGAGTTACTCGTCCGTGTCTAATTCACAATCTCATTATACTAACACAAACTGTCGAGTGTCGAAACCTTAATCAAATTACGAAACATAAACAAATAGGTAATAAAGATATAATAACCACAAATTTAATAGACAGGTGTTAATATTAAGACCACTAAATAAAAATGTCATTCTGAATTTGGTTAGTTTATCTCACGGAACGGACATGCTACCAACATAAGAGAAGGAATAAACGCCATTCACGGTGAGCAAACGCGAATCGAAAGGTTAGCTTCGATTGTAACTCACACTCGCTTGTCGATACCGACGACGTTAACTCGGTTAACGCGATGGTGAAGTCATTTGATTAGCTTTGTGGAACTCGCACTAGGCACACTGTAATGTCGCTAACTACGGTCGATTTTCAGTTTTAATTAAAATTGTATTTTTATTATTAAAAAAAATGAGAAACAATGACGTTACTGCTAATCACATACAATTTCTATAAAAAAAATATTTTGTCAGTTTATAATTTTTTTTTGTAAAATATTACATTACAAGATTTATTTACATATATTTTATATATATCTTAGTTTTATTTATAGTACAAACTACCCATAAATCTTTATTTATTTTTGTGGGTAGTCTGAAAAAAATACCATAAGATTGTATTTCGTCTCATAATATCATTATGTAATTTTTTGTAGAATATTATATTGTAAATAGTTTGCCGCTGTAAAGATAACGTAATTATTTAAGGAAGAGACAAATATTAAACTTTAGAAGAATCTGTAACGCCGACTTTAATAATCCTAAAGATTTATTTTATTCTAACTGGGCCGGCAAACGATTTTCTGCTCTTTCCGTTAAGTGGCGTGATGAGTTTTTTTCTGGACTTTTTAGTGTCTATATAAAATGTATTTAATTACTCCTCTACAGCACCACCTAAACGACTTGATTTTGTGATTCTCTTTTTTAGCACATTACGAACATTTATTTATGAGTAATTTTAGTCCACACAAAAAAATGTAAGTAACTTGATGTTGTCTATGGGGCACAGCACCTACAGATCGTGTACTCATTTGTAATTTGTGTAAAAAAGTTCCATGTAATGATAGGTAATTTAAACGACCTACAGCCATCATATACTGGATGAACTTTTTTACTGTCTTGAAAAAAATAGAATGTAACATGTGAACAAAGTAGAAGCGTATGCCACTGATAATTTATAAAAAATATAAAAACAAAAACTTTGAATTAAACGTAATATTTTTTACTTTGCCCTTGAGCCTGTGACCCTGCGAAGTGACAAGGTCAAAGATGCCTACTAAGTTTATTGTTTTATTGCCGTTCGCAAAGTAGGGTGGATATGTTTTGAATTTCGATAGATTTTAATTAATTTATATATTTAATTCAAAACTTTTTTATTTTTTGTAAAATATCAGTGCCACAGGCTCTCTCCGTTCTACTCCGTTCACATGTTACATCCGATTTTTGCCACATGGTAAAAAACGTCATCCATATAGCGTTCGGCTATAGTATCAGAGTAAGAATATCCACTTTCCCATATCATCCCGTGGGTGTCGTAACAGGCGACAGAGCAAAATTAAACAGGATATGAGCAGTAGTGTCTTCCTGAGGAGGTCTTCGTTCAGCAGTAGAATTTGATTAGCCAGTATAGGTTTAGATTATGAATGAATCTACAGCAAGTTCTAGTAGTACATACACAAAGTCAACAGCGTTAAAACGCTTAATTCTGGACCATTCATATGTTCAACAAGCATATTTTCAGCACACCTACTACGATAGATCTGTTTCTAGAAGTAACTATAGGATTACAATAGGAAAGGATCCAACTACGAAATTTGCGCTTTATTCTTCTCCGCCTCTGCTTTCTTTTTATTTTCAGCCGCTATTTGCTTCAACGTCATTTCTCTGTTGTCTATTAAATGTTTGACGTCATCGAACTCTTTGAAGATCTCCAGATCGTCCTGATGGAGACGCACGTGGCTCTTCAGGCTGCATTTTTGGACGAAGGTCTTTTTGCAAACATCACATTGGAGCTTTTTGTCAACGTCGTGGGTACGCATGTGCTCCCGTAATGTTCTCGCACGCGAGAACGATCTCCCGCAGATATCGCACGAGCACAGCTCAGCTCCCGTATGCCGCAGCATATGATCGATTAGGCCACGCTTGGAGAAGAACTTCGCATTGCATTTATCGCACAGATAGTTCTTCTGCTGCAGGTGGTGATGCTTGATATGCCGATTCAGTTCGAACTTCTTTTTATACGTTCTGTTGCACGCATTGCACGGGTAGACTATGGGGGTCTCGTTGTGCACTTTGACCAGGTGCTCACTCCTGTCGTAATAACTGACGAAAATTTCCGGGCAATGGGGACATTTGTTTCTCAACCACCCACCCGTATGTACCCCCTTTTCGTGGTTGCGTTTCTTAGTCAGAGACGTGTATATTTTGTCGCAGAAATCGCAAGGGAAGTTACCTTGGTAATGGGTCTTCCCGTGCTTCCTCAGGGCAGCGATGGTGATGAATCCCGCGCCACATTTCTTACAACAATAATTTCTATAGTGAGAGCTCATGTGATGATAAAGGTTCTTGAATGATATGTGTACAACGGAACAGATCACGCACGTGAAATTCTGTCCGTTCTCCAAACGAAACGGTAGAATTATATCCTTGATGTTTTTATAAATCGTTTTATTGTGGACGTTAACCAAGTGGTCTTTCAAATCGTTGAGATCCTTCATTTGGGTGTGGCAGACGATGCAAGATAAGTTCGTGATGTCCAGCTTGATTGGGTTGTAGCTGAGCTTATAATCGATCATGGAGTTGATTTTATCTTTTTCGGATTGCTGGGCAGTGTGGGAGCGGAGTTCGTCGATGTCCTGGAAGTATTTAGCGCAGTACAGGCATGAGAATCCGCGCATAGTCTTGTCTCTGAACGGGCTCGCGTTGGAGTTTTGGAGGATTGCGGTTAAGTTCACCCTATGCTCTATGCGCTCTGGCGTCGCGCTTTCCGTTGATTTCTTTCTTCTTTTCCTGCGCTTGGGGGGGTCGCCGTCCGTTCCTACAACAGAAACGAGTCACATCTCAATTATCTGCATCCACTCTCAATTCTTCTTATCGTTTAGCGTATCGTCATATTCTGTCTTCGCAGGAATTGAGACGTATCGGACGACAGAGCGCTTATAGTTCTCATTCAAAGAGTTATCAGGGTTCTAAGTTACGAGCAACACGATATATCCGCAGGAAAGTATTTTTTTTTTTAATAAATCACATCGACTTTCCAAATTTTATTTCTTCTATATTATATATAATAATCATACAATATAAGTCACTTTTGAAACATATTAAGTTAAAGTAACAAATCACGCAAAAACTATATCACCAATAATTTCAAAGTTAAGTCATAAGAAGATAAAGCCGTTATAAAATTTGCAGCTATATTATGGTTGTAGCACGAATGTAGCGTAGGTAGGACCACTCACAGTATACCAGTATAAAACAGCAGTTTAAGGGGGAATATAACCTCAAATAGCTTAAGCAAGTTCCTCCGTTATACCGAAAATATTGCAGCATTAATTTTGAAATAAATATATGGTAAAGTTGAGGATTAATGTTAAGGACTATGTTAGACGAAAACATGATTCCGTAAAATTATCTCGATAGAAAAAAAATCAAAGTTACCTCCAAACTGAACAATAAGCCGCTGTTATTCATAAAATACTATAAATAAGATCATGAAACTTTGCATACTAACTGAACTAACTATAAAGCAGGGTTTCTTATTTTTTTATTTTACCATTATTTTCACTGTAAAAAGAAATTACCTAAACAATGGGCGTCCTGAAGCTTGTTTTCCAAGCAATAGTTAGTTCAGTTAGTATGCAGTTTCATGATCTTATTTAAAGAATTTTATGAATAACAGTGGTTTATTGTTTCGTTTTGAGGTAACTTTGGATTTTTTTCCTATCGAGCAGCGGTTTATTCTTCAGTTTGAAGGTAACTTTGGATTTTTTTTTTCTATCGATAAAATATTACGGAATCATGTTTTCGTCTAACATAATACTTAATATTAACCCTCAACTTTACCATGTATTTATTTCAAAATTAATGCTGCCATATTTTCGGTATAACGGAGGACCTTGCTTAGTCTTAGTTTTGATTCTTAATCAAGGATAAACGTAGATGTCTATGGGCCACAGCATCCATTTACCTTCAGGTGGACTGTGTGCCCGTTTGCCACCCTTATGCTATTAAAAAAATATAATTCTACAGACTTCTCCGTGGATTGTGCCGTAAGGAAGAAGAAACGGAAGATGGGCAGCAGAGTTTTCCTAATAACAACTAAAAATAAATCTCCCTTGCCAAACGCGGCAACTATAACAAATATCCCCTCTATGAGACAATCTATGGGGGAGGCCTGTGTTCAGCAGTGGACTGAATATAGCTAACATTACCTGTATATAATAGTGCCTGTAACGGGAACAGTGAACAATCGAATTTTTAAGCTATTGCATAGCTTCTATCGCGGGCCTTGGGCGCGGGGACCGAATCCAGAAATTCCGTAACGAAAAAAAACCTCACGCTCCCCACTCCGACGACCACGGAGGTGTGGCGTTGAAAGCCGTGCATCGTCTAACGTCGTTTTAGTTCGGCAGACTTCGACACTCGGCAGAGTTCGGCACGGTGTTTGTGTGCGTGCGACTAGACGTATGCGTGTAGTAGCTGCTAATTGAATGATAAAAAATTCCTGAATAACCTCCATGTTTTTTTTTAAAAAAAAAAATTGTTTTCTTATCGGTCACCACTCTCAAAAAGTGTAACTTGATTTAATATCAAAGACTTAACTGCATAAATAAAATAAATAAATGATTATAATTGCATAAGTTGATAAAAAATGCTATGCAATAGCTTTACTGCGGCAGTTACCGAGTGCCACACGTATTTTTTTATTAGGAATATCCTAGTTTGTTACACTCTGTCGCCTCTTAGGAAACCAACGGTGTGATACGAGGTAGTGGATATACTATCACCGAAACTAACAATCGGAAGCGATGCAAATCAAATATAATATATGGAGCTCCAGTAAAATGACAGGCTACACGGTGACGGGGGACGGGCAACCACACGTCTAAAACTTTGTAACGTTAGTCACAGGCTAGTTGTTGACTGCAGCGGGGGTGCCGCACGCACTTTATAATATTTTAAGGTATTGTACGTTATTTCACGCAAACGTATTTTTACACTTTATGAGACCAAAAAGTACGTGAAAATACATTATTTTACCTATTTAACAATTTTCAACGTTTTATTTTAATGTTTACTGAGTATTATATACAGTTGTTTTTGTTTTTTTTTCTTTTTTTTTTTTTTGCGGGGGGGGGGAGGGGGGGGAATAAAGTAGGTTGGGAATTTAAAATTTTTTTTTTATTTTTTTTTTTTTTTTAACTTATTTTGTTGTGGTGTGGGAGCGCTGTCAAATCGTAAGTAGCTACTTTCCTCTAGGACACGAAGTTAGTTTTAACCAGAGTATCTAACCTAATTTAAATATATAATTGTAAAGTATTCATATTAAAAACTTACCAAACATGAATTTTTAATAACATGTGTATTCATGTTATTATATTACTTAAAACTAATATTGCACACAACAACTTATAAACTCTACTTCAAAACAAACAAATTAAATAAGCAAAATGGCGGATAGTTTCAGCGCTACTGAAGTTAGCAAACGTGTCCTGGCCGAAAACTGTTTAATATCGCCATTTTGCTTACAAGCGCTTGCTAGCGCTTTTTTCTGCCAAACGCACCCAACCCATTACATTTACCATCATGTGGACTGTTAAATCATTCGTTGCCTTTGCAGCTACACTAGACGCCTCGCGAAACAGCTCTTGTCTGAACCACGTCACGCCTCATGCGGACAATACAACAGCGCTTTTAACCCGGGGTTCGTGGGTAGGTACTTTACGAACACAAACGGTCGCTACTGGGTAAAATGTACCACATTATTTATAGCTCCCTACTTAAATACATGGATATACGACCTTTTAAATTCAATATGTCTGTATGCACTATAAACTCTAAAATTAAAAATTACATTTATATAAAAAAAATTTAATATTTTAGGCACATACAATAAACAGAACCAAAAACTTAATTTTTTTTTTCATAATCTTGAAATGTCAACAATTATTCATTTTTTTCTTTTGAAGCACGCAAAGTGAGATCAGATAATATTATAACATATATTATGCTCTTACAAGTCAATGAAAATAATTTATACTTTTATAAATAAAATTCTTTTGGTAAATAGAGATCAAAAATCCCAAAAAAACCTCTCAAAAAAACCAAGGCTTTGTTTCGAACTATAAATGTAGTTAATTATTTATCCCTTTTTTGACAAAAACTTTCATAAGTAGGTACTGTATACTCTCGGCATATTTCACAAAATCCGATCTTTCCTCCAGTTGCAAGTGCATGGGTCAGGTCAGCACCTTGAGTAGCTCGGCATATTGCCGTCGTTGTTTTCGTGAAAACACAAAATAAACTTGATGTTTTTTATCGACTGTGGAAAATTAAAAACTTGCAATCTGCAATAAGAGACATCAGTAAATTTTTGGCTAATTCTTTCAACTTATCCCTTCTTTGGCCAATCGAAGCGCCTGAGATTTTTTTTTTTGATATAACGTAGTAATTTTCCATTTGGGCCGAAGTATTTCCCACGCCTGATTTATTTCAATAGTACATTATCTAAATACTATTCACCCAATTGCACTGGTAATGTTGGTTCTTCTTCTTCAATCTGCAGAGGAATGTCGTGGACATCATCAGAATTCGCTTCTTGCCCAGTATCGCTGTCATGGTTACTAAGCTCCTTATAACCCTCGGTCTAAGATACGGTTTCATCCTCATTATTTTCTTGTTGCAATATTTTTTCTATAGTGTTCTATAGTTCAAAAAACATTTAATGTTTATCAAAAAAAAAAGTAGGGACATAAACGGTCGCTACCGGTTATTTTTCACCCATACTCACTTCACACCTTCGCTACGGCTGATCAAGTGATACCAACCGACAGCCGCGGTCCGCGCTCATATCTTGTTTCTACACCGAAATGTATTTAAAGCGGCAAGTTGCTAAATTTCGTAGAAAAAAATTGGTGTTTTCATTAATTTACGCGGTATTTTTTACCCGGTAGCGACGAATCCCGGGTTAAAAGCCGATTTTCACTATTTCACAAGACATCTTGTAGCTACAGTGAGCTATCATTCTCTCGTTCATATTTACAACCAAATAAATAATAGTAATATTTTAATTCAATATTGTAAAGTACATATGATGCAGACATTTTCATTGGTTAGAATACTCGTACATTTTGTTCATTTAAATAATACTGGTTTTTACGGATTTTATCGCGTATATCTAACTTTTTAATTACCCGACGTTTCGAGTACTTTACAGCACCCATGGTCACGGGGGAGACGGACCATGGGTGCTGTAAAGTGCTCGAAACGTCGGGTAATTAAAAAGTTAAATATAAAAACTTGTATTATTCAAATGTGTAGTGTTCGCGTAAATATAAGAAATCATTATGTTCATTTTTGTATAAAAGGAGTTACATTTTGGCAATAAATCATTTTACGCATACTACTCATTACGAGTTTTTCATTATGCAACTATGTATTATCATATATATATATCACAATATTGATTCTACGTCCTTTCATTTCGCATTATTGTAGCGTCTACCACTTGTAGGCAATTTTTATACATTATAACAGCGTATATTGATCCATTAAACAATTTCAAAGGTAGTGTTTAACTCATTTCTTTGAAAATTTACCTTATGTCGATATACAAATATTCGTATATTGCCAGACGGAGGGAACCAATCAGGACTCCCTTCCATATTACAAATTATCCAGAATCCCCGTAATATACATAGTTTTTAATTCATTCTCCTGCTTAACGCAATTCCTTTGTATGGTGCGACGTTGCCACTCTTATTAGTTATTCCGCTTTGTAATATTTTATTTATAGGTGATATTTTGTTTATGTAGGTA